TTTTTTCCCCCCCCCCCCCCCCCCTTCCCTCCCTCCTCTTCTTCTCTCGCCACTCTCCTCTTTCCCCATTCCTCCTTTCTGAGCCTTGCCTCTTCCTGCTTCCTTTTTGTAACCTATTCCCCCTCCAACTTTCAAGCCTTTCTCTGATTAGCATGTAAGATGAAGAAAAGGGAAGAAAAAAAAATTTTAGCTTGGCTTTTCATAACAAGCGCATATGTTTAAAAGCTTACAATAGTCAGGGACATGATTGGTGTGTGTTTTTCTGGATTTTTGCAAAATTGTGGTTCGTATCATAAAATTGAAGCGACCTCTCACCTCCAGTCATTAAATTGTAAACTTTTGACCGATATTTCTCAACAGTTATTCACATAAGTTATCGAAAAATAACAATTATCGATTTGTAGAACCATGTAAACCACTGATCGATATTTTATAACACTTATGAGAAAAAAGTGTGGGAAAATTCTGCTGCAACATAGCCCTTTTTTTGTACAAATTCATCACTGTATGATTTTAAAATTTGTGTTGAAGGAGGAGGCTAAAATAATGGATCTAAAGTCAAGTGAAGTGGCGGCGATGAATGTGACCGCGAAAGGTGTCGGTGGTGAGAAATTCAAAAACACGGCAAGCAAATTGGAGGCCGAGGAGGAAGATAGAGTGGCCGTTGCGACACTTCCTGCTAAATTCAAACAAGCTGCAGTCATCGATGGTTTGTACACTTCCCCTCCACAATATTAACAACATTTGTTGTTCAAATATGCCCTTCGATGAGCTTTTGAGACGAAGACCTCGCTCCGAGTACCAATTTTTTTCCAAGTTTTCGTGGAGGGAGCAGAGCTGTCCTTATTTGAAAGTTAGTAGTAGTTAAAGAGAAAGTAATGTAAAGAATGAAAGAAAAAGAAAAAAGAAGAAAAAATGAATAAATATCTCGTTCTTATGTCTTGTGCTGCTCGTCTTACTGAACACATATCCTCAGATTTTTCAATTTTTTTCTTCATATTTTCGGCAATAACTGTTCTTTCAGAC